CTCTCGCTGGCGCTCACGCTCACGATCGCAGTCCAATACGCGACGCAGTTCATCAGTGAAGCCTGGGGATCCTACATGGGAATGCAAATACCATTTCCGGTTTGGCGACAAAGCGAAACGTTGCGAGTCACCGTGCTGTCGCCGATATAAGAAGTCGGAAAACTAACGTCGACATCGACTGTGGCGAGCGTCGATGTCTCCAATACAAGCAATCGCCTATGTGTACACGATCGCGACACTCGGGAACGTTTCCTCGTGGACACAGGCGCCGACATTTCCGTACTGGCAGCGACAAATAAGACAAGAAAAAACAGCCGAAATAGCGCCTTCCAACTTTTTGCCGCAAATAATACGCCCATAAAAACGTATGGTGAGAAAACGATTAGGCTAAACCTTGGCCTTCGTCGAAGCTTCACGTGGACCTTCATCATTGCAGATGTGAAGACTTCAATATTAGGAGCTGACTTTCTTCGCCATTTTCAACTGCTTGTGGACCTGCATAAGAAAAAGTTAGTCGATATAGTGACAGAACTATCGATAAATGCCATCGAGATTTCTACACCTTCCGAAGCCATCCACCTTATCATTTCCAGTCAAGATTACCATGGCATATTGAAGACTTATCCTAACGTACTTCGGCCCATGTCACTGAAGCAGCCACCGAAACACAACGTAGTTCATTACATCGAAACAACCGGCCCACCGTTGTTTGCACGCGCGCGCCCCCTGCCGCCCGACAAATACAAAGCGGCGAAAGAAGAATTCGAGCGCATGATGGAGATGGGTATATGCCAGCCATCGAAGAGTCCTTGGGCGAGCCCGCTCCATGTTGTTAAGAAAAAAGATGGAGGAATACGAATTTGCGGAGATTACAGACGCCTTAACGCGGTTACACAACCGGACCGGTACCCTATACCTCGCATTCAAGACTTCACGTATCAGCTGAAAGACATGAAATTATTCTCCAAAATCGATATCAAGACTGCATATTACTGGATACCCATAAATAAAGAAGACGCAAAGAAGACCGCCGTAATCACACCTTTCGGCCTATTCGAATTCAACTGCATGACATTTGGTCTCAAAAATGGAAGCCAATCTTACCAAAGATTCATGCATGAAGTCCTACGAGGTATTAGCGGATGCTTTTGCTACATAGACGACATCCTGCTCTTTTCAAAATGTGAAGAATCGCATAAAAAGCTACTTCACGAAATATTACAACGCCTCGAGAAATACGGTGTCTCGATCAACGTAGACAAGTGCGAGTTTGGAAAGAATACGATCGACTTCCTGGGCTACGAAGTTACAGCAGAGGGAATAAGACCTCCTCAAGAACGTACAGACGCCATATCTACATACCCCAAGCCGAAAACCATCATCGAGCTACGACGTTTCTTAGGCATGCTAAATTTCTACCGTGATTGCCTACCTCACCAAGCCGACTTACAACACGAACTTAACAAGTATTTACATAACAAGAAAAAAAACGACAAGACGCCAATCGAATGGACGCCTGAAGCCGAAAACGCTTTTGAAAAATGCCGCCAAAGCATCTCAGAAGCCACAACACTAGCGTACCCGTCTGTCGGAAACAAACTTGTCATCATGACCGACGCCTCAGATCATAGTCTAGGCGCCGTACTGCAACAAAAAGACTCAGAAGTTTGGAAACCACTGGCATTCTTTTCGAAAACTATGAGTGCTACTCAACGCCGCTACAGCGTGTACGATCGCGAGCTATTAGCGATCTACTCAGCTGTAAAACATTTTCGTCGATTAATAGAAGGCTCCGAAGTCACCATCTACACCGATCACAAGCCTCTTACGTATGCACTGACAAAGACAGCGAGTAACAGCGACAGCCCGCGCCGTGAACGTCAACTCAACTACATCAGCCAATTCTGCTCAAAAATCGAGTATCTAAAAGGCGAAGAGAACCCAGTCGCTGACGCATTATCACGCATAGAGGAAATACAATGCCCAACTGCAATCGACTTCGCTCAATTGTCTATCGACCAAAGCAACGACGAAGAACTAAAAAAGTTAAAAGTACAACCAAACTTAAAATTCGCCGATCTAACCCTACCTGGAATGAGCCGTCCGATCACGTGTGAGCTGTCCACAACAACGCCCCGCCCATTTTTACCCAAGGCATATCGTTACGCCGCTTTCAAAGCGCAACACGAACTGTGCCATCCAGGCGTAAGAACGACAAGACAGCAGATGATCACTAAATTCTTCTGGCCAGCAATGAGTAAAGAAGTGGCAGGTTGGACGAAAGCCTGCACAGAATGTCAGCGCGCTAAAGTACATCGCCACGTCGTAACGCCGCTATCTGCATTTCCGCCATCGCAACGCTTCGAACATATACACATAGACATAGTCGGCCCCCTACAACCATCCAACGGTTATCGATACTGCATCACTATTATCGATAGATGCACAAAATGGCCCGAAGCGATTCCCGTGCAAGACATAACCGCAGAAACAGTCTGTAAAGCGCTTTACGAACAGTGGATAGCACGCTTCGGTTGTCCGTTGAGAATATCAACCGATCAAGGCCGCCAGTTCGAATCATCATTGTTCAACACATTATTAAAAAAGTTTGGAATAAACAGAATTCGAACCACCGCATTCCATCCTCAATCCAACGGTCAAATAGAGAGATGGCATAGAACTATGAAAACCGCGCTCATGGCTCGTGGCGCGTCTATAACCTGGAGCGAAGACTTACCTACAGTTCTGTTGGGGCTACGCAGCGCTATACGAGACGACAACAATTTCAGCCCAGCGCTTATGACATATGGTACAAATTTGAGGATACCGTCCGATTTCTTCGTGCCTACTCAGCCGAAATATGACGACGCAGATTTTCTACGGCATCTAACAGAAGCGATGACGTCATTAACGCCTACAACACGTCCGCAACAAACGTCACAGCGACCATTCGTCTACAAAGATCTCTCAAAGTGCTCACATGTATTCGTCCGCAATGACACCGTGCGGTCACCACTCACACCGCCGTACGACGGACCATACGAAGTTTTAAAGCGACACGAAAAATATTTCAAAATTCAACTTCCAACGCGAACTTCAGTAATATCGCTGGACAGATTGAAACCCGCGTATACTGTTGAGAGTGAAACAGACAAGGAAGAGGTACCTGCAACTAGAAACACAGCAACATCAAGTAACACGCTCGCTACCAGCCATCCCTACGTAACAAGATCGGGCCGCGTAGTAAAGAAGAGCGTACGCTTCGCTTGAGGGGGAGTGATATTGGAGGTCATAAGCAGCATATCGCCATCTCTGCGGAACGCGCAAGAATGTGTGACAGAGAAAATCACCTCTCACTCACTCTCATTGTAATTAGCTAGTAATTAGTGTCTCTTCCGGATTGGTCGAAAAACTTAATTTTTAATTGGTGTACATATTTTAGCCAGTAAGCACGTAGCTCATAATTTGTATAAATAGTTAAGAAATTAGAAAATAAATCATTACAAATCTGGACTTCGAGTGTTATTCTTCCCGCAAATATCGACAGCAGTGAAGACCTCCCACAACATAAACGAAAGATTGTAACATGTGACAGTGTAACATGTAACAATGTAACGTGTGATAGTGTAACAATGTAACATGTGACAGTGTAACATATAACACATATCTCACCCTGCCTGCTGCGCGCATGTGACGTGGAATGCGGAGTAGCAGTTGCTCTTATGGCACTGTATGCAGGCGCCGGCGCCGCGCTGCTTGCACACCATGCACTGCAGCTTCCACCGCGCCGCGGGGATCATCTCTATTGAATCTGTTATACATTCATTTATAAATTAACTATGCACTTAAGGAAATAAAAAAAAGTCACTTTCTTATTGAGTTAGCGGCTCGATACCTAAAACGTTTAAAAAAAAATAGATATTTTTATTTTAAACAACACAATAAGATTGCATAGGATGTTACCGACATACCACTCACGTGGTTTATTGGCGTCGCTCTTTTTTTAACACACAATTAAGAAAACCAGAGAACAAATAAAATTAAAATTGTGTAAAGGATGCGGAGAGAGGGCAGTGCCCTCTCTCTGGATCTTAACCTGTCAAATAAATAGAAACAACCTATAGCTTACCAATGGGTTCTAAGAAGACTGTGTTAGCAAACCGCACTTCAGGTATCCAGAGAGCGCACACTACGTGCGCCCATGTGCCTTGATCTGTTTGTTTAAATGCACCTGACACAAAATAGAAATTTCTAGATCTTTAGTATATAGAAAGAGGATTATATAAATAGAAATGTGATTAAATATGGATGGGTTGCGTGATACAAGGGAAATATCAAAAAGTAGAAAAACAGCAAGGGTTAAATTCAGATATAATGGAACCTTTATAGGGAAAGTGCATGAATGTAATATATTTATATCATCACCAGCTCACTAAACATCCCTTCCTAATAATTTCCTTCACCGTGAGAATGTTGAATTAATCTATATTTATATGTGTAACTAATGCTCACCTCCAGTATTAGGACATAATACACAGTTAACAAGCCGAGATGGAGACTGCAGACATCTCCTGCACAACCATTGACCCTCCGGTATGTATGGTACCTGTATATTATATTAAAAAAATTACTCCTATAAAATATATTATTAATTATCATGGAATGAAAAAAAAGACTTCATTAGTTCCCGTCAATTAATCAAATTTTTCTTTTCTTTTAAACCTTCCCTAGAACTTCAAGAATATTTCAAAACCAAGACAAGATAAATTCATTCAGCCGTTCTTGAGTTTTAGAGAGAGTAATGAACAGCAATCTTTTTATATATATAGATTAATTAATAAGCTTTATTAGCTTCGGCCAGGAATTCTCTTACTTTTCCTCTTGTAGATATATTACAGTTATGCAGGCTTTAGTGAATCCACTTGCTACTACATTTCTTATTTATATTGTGAACACTGAACTTTACTTTCTATCATCATAAGATCTTCCTTCCACTTCAAGTGGCCTATTGTGGTCTGAGGTGAACCACAAGGCATTACAACTTAAGATTAAAATAATGTTACTTAAGTTAACTTACCCCATAGCAATCCTGATGCACAGCAAGATTGCACATATCACAGAACAGTATAACATTTGTGTTCTGACACTCTCCATCCATACAAATGCAACACACTGCATCCTCATCCACTGTGGCTGCGGTCTGCTGGCCGCTTTGAGTTGCCTGGTATTTATGAAAAAAAGTGTTAATATCAGCCATAGAAATCTACAGTAGAAAGAGAAAATTCATATGGTTCAAATGTTTCTCTATGGTTGACTAACTAGTAGTTGGAACTAAAATCTCAATAAATTTATCATATAATTTATTTCTGTTCTGTTCAGGTTATTATTGAGGCAATGTGTATGTATGTGTATGTAATGTACAGGTCCTAATATTTTAGTTTCATTTTAGAATCTTTATATTCTCTATCAAAATGTATATTTGGCCTCAGGTACTAAGTAATTATTGTACCTGAAAGTAAGATTCCTTCTCAAGCCTATCCATAAGCAGTTCCAGAGTGTCAACAGAAACTGGTGGCAGTCCTTGTTTAGCTCTACTCTTGTTGATAAGAGCCAACCAGGCTGTGTCCTCTTCATCCACATCATATTCAACTTCTCCATCCAATTCTTCAGCTGATTTCTCAATGAAGCGTATGTAGGCATTTGGTCTGGGTTGAGCATCACAAACTCTCTCATTGTAATCTGGTATTAACTGCAAATATCATGTATATTTATAACATACTTAATTTATCTTGAAATTAGACACAATATTGTTGCTACATGTTTTGTAAAAAGAATTGGATTAATAAGATATTAAACAATTTAATATTACCCGAAAACTAGCTTCAGGAAGTTTAACTTGAGGTTCAAGAGGTGGTTCTACGACTGGAAGTGGCTTTTCCAGCTCTGCATTCTTCTTTTCCCATTCCTCTAAAGAAATAATTGGCAATGGTTGATCGATCGGTATTCGACTTATTTTCCCGTCAATTTCAAACTGTACAACTTTTTGTGCCTCAGCAAAAGTTAAAGCCTCTTTCGGCGGGCTCTGAAGAGCTATATCACCGGTGGGAACCGCAGCTCTGGCTCTGCCTTTTTTCCGACATATATTACGAACTACGGTAGGTGTTGCCGGTGTGGGATTGTCATGGTCGTAATTAACAAGATGGTATTGCAATCCACATAGGCTTTTATAAACTTTATCACACTTTTCCAGTGGACACTGATAGGGCGGTGGCCTGTTTTGTCGCAACTTTTTACAAAACTCCAAAACATCAAAATCCAATCCCATTTTGTTGATTTAGCAATACATTTGAGATATTGCAGAATAAAGATTGTCGTATTTGCTGTCGTGTGGATTTTACTTTTTCATTTACTTCAAAACTTTCAAATAAAACGCAATTTGAGAAAAGTGAAAGGCTGGCGAAATATAACACAAATCGATGTTGATTTCATGCACAAAATTTTATAAATTGTTTTGATTGACAGCTATGACAAATGGCAAAGAGCAAATAAATGCATTTTGGAAACAGAAAAATGGCCCGACAAAGACTATGCAATGTTTGAAACTTATAAATATTTTAATTATTTTTGTTTTAACTTAATTACACATGTTAAAAGCTAAATCGACATAATTTTTATTAAATGATATTAAACACTACACATTAATTACCACTACTTGTTAATGCTGAATTACATTTTTCCAGAAAATTCGCGTTGTTTCTAATGCTATTCAACATCTGTTACTTTTACTTTCCTGTATTTCATTTTGTGAAGTGTCAATTGGTGTCATTGTTATTTTGTAATTTGTTATTGTTTGCGAATTTTTCGTGGTTTTCGTGAGAGAAATAAAAGTAGAGTGCTTACTAACATTTTCCAGAACATTTTTTAATCGACTTGTAGACAAAATGGATATTTATAGATATCCCCCGTATCAATACGGACAATCAGATGAACTTTCTAAACAAATGTTTGCCCAACAAGCCCTGTCTTCCGGCCTTCCATATCAGCGTCCAGGAACGAGTCATGAGCCACATTCCATGCCTATCCCCTCTGGTGCTCCTTGGAATATACAAGGCGTTTCCTGGGGTTTACCTTCGCCACCTCAATTAGTACAGTTCACGGGACAACCACAATTAGAAGCAAAGCCTTCACACGCAATTCTTCATTGTAAAAGAAAAAGTTTGGATGTCGAACCTGTCATGTAAGTAGATTTTTGAGTTATAAACACAGTGAAAATGTAGACAGAACAGATTGTAAAAAGTAAATACAACAATGGTTGTTTAGGTTTTAGCCTTTCTAGAAAGAGCAATTAGGGATTCCTATTGAATTGTGACACTAAATTTTTTTATAACATTTGAGTTATAATATAAACCTGAACTTTTTTTAGTCCAGCCAAACAGTTAATAACGGAAGAGAAAATGGCAGCACATTTAAGTGGTCTCCATATATCTTCAGACTACACAGCTCATTCTTTGGCAACATTGACAGACGAAAATATGGATCTTGGCATGGATGGTGCAATGACTCTCAGTGAAAAACTGAAAGGTCACAAAATTGTTCTCTCGGAAGAGCTTAAAAAGTTACAAGAAGAACCTTTAATACCTGCTACTCTTATGGAAAGGTATTATTTAGTTTATTATAATAATTATAAATCATTTGTGTCAACTCTCACTTTCAATAATAGTAGCTTGCTTAGCTTATATTTTAAAATAATGTTATTTTGCCTTATGGCAACTTTCTGTGGAGATTTATAGTGTTCAGAGTACTTTTGTCACATATTGAAAATAACATCTTTTATTTATCAAACTAAAGTTATTTCAACTTTCGCATTTACATTGTACTCACCTGTGTTTCATTCTTTTGAAGTATTATTGCTTCTGTTACAGACTAGAAAAGCCCCACATGTCTTTAGTTGTGTGGAAACCTCGAGATAATATTTTAGAGAAGATAAAGGAAGTAGAGGAAAAACCACATGAAGAAGAGAAGAAAAGACCTGGAGTGCTTGTAAGTGAAATATCACCTATGGAAATGGAGATGTCATGAGCTGTTTGGGAATATTAAGGCGGTGTTCACACCAAATGTATTAGCAACTCTTTTCAAATATCTTTAAGGCCTAAGGTTATGTGCGCACTATGCAATGCCCACTTCCCGCAATGCAACAGGCTCACAGAAAGTCCAAGTATGAATATGGGATGACAATACATTTTTGTTTGGTAATTTGCTTCTATAATAGTAAGTCTAATTGTTTTTTTTATTTGTGTCTCAGCTCTGCGACTTGCTCCGCATTCCTTCACCTCGCTACACCTAAAATTGTCTTCTGCTCTGCGACTGATGCAATGTTCCGAGCTACCATCATTTTTGAACACTAAAGTACAAATATCTAATACCATGCTGCTTGGATGTATGGATGGATGTTTGTTAGAAGGTATCTCAAGGACAGCTGGTATGGATTTGATGAAATTTGGTATATATGTATAATACTGGAACAACACATAGGCCAACTATGATCCTGGAAATGTGATTATTGCCCATGGAATATGTTTTATTTAATTGATAATTGTGCATTAGTTCAACACATATGTTTGAAATATAGCAAAGATATGAAACATAAGTCTAGAGCAGTCTTTCCCAAAGTGGGCGATAACGCCCCCTTGTGGGCGCTGCAGGTCTCAAGTTGCAGGTTATAGTAAAAGTTTCGTTTAGAATTCTCTGTTAATATACATATATAGGTCACAATAATTAATTAATTTAATTTGAAGTTATAGTGGTTTTTAAAAAAGTGAAAATATGGGGGCGCTAAAAAAATATTTATTCCCAAAATGGGTAGTAGACAAAATAAGTTTGGGAACCACTGGTCTAGAGTACTTTTTTTTAAATCTGCACCAAGCCACGGGCAAAAGCTGTTGTTTTTATATGGACAGTTATAATTCACGGTTAGGTTTCAGTGTTTAGGTGAAGTTGTGTGTTGACAATATATTTGGTGTGAGCACTGTCTGTTTGTTGTAGTTTAAGTTAATTAATTTTTAAGTCATCTTTTTTAATTGTGAACCCTTGTTAACAAAAATACTGTAGTTTTAGAATATATTAATACATAATATGGTGAGTTTTGATTGTACCTTGATAGTTGAGTGTTGTATATAAGATAAATAAGAATTGTAATTGATTGTTATTTACTTTAAAAACTTTGCTTATAAAATATTTTTCTTTGCATTTGAACATTAATTTTGACATAAAAAAGTGTTTAAAAATTGTGCACAAATACGACCAAATTAATTTCAGTGTCATATTACAGTAAATGATCTGATATTTTGTGAAATTCATTAATTGATAAAAAAAAGTATGTTTAGAAAAATGTATTTAAATAATTTTGATTTGATTACTTTAATTATACAATAAAGTATAATTATAGAATTTCTATAGTATAGAAATTTTAGTGGTTTGAAAAAAAAAATTGCCAAATAATTTTAAATGAAAAAAATCTGAACTAGATTTTGTAATAAATTCATTGAACGTAATTTTTAAAATATTCACTGCCATTAAAAATATATTTAAAAAAAAACAATTTGTATTGATTCTATACCCTTAATGTGTTTTCTAATTTGTGTATTTGATTATCATAACACTTGTATGCATTGTGGCAGTGGAATTCTACTGTATATCTTAAATACATAATTGGCATGAAAAGTAAAATAAGAACTTAAATAATATTTATATCATTAAATGTTTTGTACTGTATCACAAGTTTTTTTTGTGACAAAACGATTTTTAGGGATGAAAACCAAGCGTTACGGTGTGGCTATATAAAAAAATGTTTACCTTATGATATCTGGAAGTTTTCTCTAGTTGTAGCGTGTTGCTTTTTAAATTGTCTTGTCATTTGTTTATTCTAATAACCTATTGATTTGGCACATAGAGGATAACAGATACTTCTGCACAAAGTGCCAACTTGAGCGACAGACATTGGTGGGATTAATCACATGTGGATAGTCTAATAAAAATGGTAGAAATTACATTAACATATATGGCCTATAATAAAATGTTCATTTCAAATAGATTCTTTATTGAATATCAAACACTTCAACAATAAATAATAACATGAATTCAAGTCCGATACTAAACAATACTGATTGAGTTGTTGTGACAAATATGTTTTTTATATAAAAAATAATGCAATCCAATTTCAAGAGTAGATCAGTCGAAGCTATTTTTGGGGGAGAAAATGAAATTTTGACTCTATTCTTGGTTTTCAATATAAAATTTATTGCAACCCAATTCATATCAACTTATTCTTTTTTATAAATCTCTCATTTTTTATCAATCACTACATAATAATAATCAGATCAAACTTATAATCTTTATGAACTTTCTTTTAACATAATTATCACATTATTGGATCAAAATAACAGTGCTGTCGGTTCAAATTATTTCCGTATACAGGTATCCTTACAAATGGATTATTAATACTTGATATTATGATACAAAATAAAAAGAATAAAAACAATTTGTGTAGATTTCCTTCAGTAAATTGTACAATATTCTTCAAACACTAAAATTAATATTAAACTTTCATATAAATATATCTTATTAAATAATTTCCACACTTATATTCTATATTTTTAGTTAATTACTTAATGTTTATGAATACTTCTTTTAATATCTTGCTTGGTCAAGGTAGACTGTATGCTGTGTAGAGTTTACCACCCACATCCCTTTGCACCATGCACCTAATACTGTGCTCTGGGCAGGAACACAAGCAATATTTCGAGCTTACATGGTATATGAAAACATCTATACCATTATTATTCTACCAAAATGTTTACATGTTTTATATCTTTTAAGCTTTGATATGTTAATATCCATGCTTACTATTGCTTAATTATCCGTTGCAAAATTAAGCAATAGAAAACATAAAAGACATATTAAAAATTATATTCAAATTGTTGCAATCATAACATGCCTTACTGTGATTTTCCACTATCCATACACTTACAAAAAATATATTGTAATTTGAATTTTAAAAGACAATAGGAATGTTTTTTGACAGTGGAAATACACAGTACCATTGAACCTAGATAAAATGGAATGTCATCAGTAAATAATAAAACAAGAATCAATATATTACAAATCAATGTAGTATATCGATGTTACATTACTAGAAAAGTATAGTCAAGTCTTGACTGAGCCAAATTTGATGCCAGTCAAAGTGAATCATGCAGAGTATGTTTATAATGAATGAATATTTCTAATGTTATAACTTTTTTTTTATTACATAAAAGTTTCACTGCGTATTCATATTGAATGACTCAATTGTTTGTGACTGTGAACACTTAATATGTTAAAGCATTTTAAAATTAATACATAATCAAGGATAATCTCTGTAAGATTAAAATGATAAGTATAATTAATAAGACATAAATAACAGAATTAGTTTTCTGTTGACCGGTTTGCACTATCGAAACACTTGTAGAAAAACATGTTATTCTTGTACCGGTGTTTTGACAGTGCACTCACAGTTTTAAGGTTAGAAAACATTTCACATCACATTGGTACGTGTCTATATTGTAACTTTTTATAGTATTTACTCGTATAACGGTTTATTAAAACACTTATTATAAATATACAATGAATACTTGATATTTTACAAATATCGAACATTTTCCGTCATTTTTTAATGACAGTGACAGTTCATTCATAGATTAAAAACGAGACAGGTTTGTCTATGGTCCACAGATCTCTTTTTAATCGATGAATGATCGAGTTAAATCGATTTGTACATTCATGTATCGATAATCGTTAGAACATATTGACTTTAACGGTGGCTGTGTCGAGCTCCCGCTTCATAGTTTCTAGCTGCTCAATGTCCTGGACGGAGGTCTCGCACTTCTGCACCACCAGCGAATGGTAGAAATGAATGGCAAACGCAACGAATACTATTAAAACTGAAAATTAAAATAATCTATTTAAAAAAAAAGACAAAATGAGCACAACAAGAACACAGAAAAGATTAAAATAATCTTACTTCTTACTAATATTATAAATGCGAATGTTTAGATGGATAGATGGATGTTTGTTCGAAGGTATTTCCAGAACGGTTGAATGGATCCGGCTAAAATTTGGCATAGACGTAAAACGTTTTTTTTTTTAATTCCGTGCGGACGGAGTCGCGGGCGACAACAAGTACTCCTATAAACCTGCATTATGATATACGACTGAAAACAGTAGGGAACTCATTCTTGACTTTTCTTCCGTGATTAAAAGGATTTGGTCACTAACTTAGTGGTATGATCGTAGGCGAATATTTTTAATTATTCCGAAGTAATTTAGCACAGATCTGACAAAGAAGCGCATGGTGATCATCATTAACACAGTACCTGGTATCACGATGACGGTGGCTGCGGTCGCGGCCGCAAACGAGTAGTCCCAGAACTTCACCCAGCAAAGAATTGCTATCTCCACCAGGAATAGGAACAGACCTGGGGAATTCACACTGATAAATATTCAAGTATAGTTTTATTGAGCGATATAGAAAGATGTGTATGCTATTTGGTATGGTCTTTAGTCTTTCTCGATAACTCATACTTTTGTCATATGTTTGAAGAGAAGAATAATTAAGTACAAGGACTGTGGACAAATCGATTTTTACTTTATTATAGATATATCGATTAGTCCAACATAATCTATAGAAATACTATGGATTAAGTTTGTCTAGTTGGTTAATGCCTATTTATGAACACAGATAAAAAATTATTGAAATTAAAACCAAGTTAAATTACAATATAGCATACCTAAAACAGTACTAAACGCCCAAGCCAGCTCTATAAATCCCCGCATGCGTTCGTGCGGCGAATCTCTGAGTGCACGCGTCGGTCCGCCTGGCGTTTCCATCTTGCTGACCGCGTCGATATTAGGTAGCAGATACGTAGAGATCATGAGAGCAAATATATGCACGGCCACTAACACAGTCGTGCACACAGCGAACATAACGAATAGCCATTCGGGCACGTTTGTAGGCTCGTTGATCTGTAACTCTACCATAGCTACCATCGCGAAACCTGCAATAAGAAATTAACGATTCTGAGTATGACAATTCATCGTCATCAGCTCACTATACGTCCCCACTGACGGGCTCGGAGCCTACCCAATGTTAGGGGGGACTAGGCTATAGTCAACCACGCTGGCCTAGTGTGGGTTGCTTGACTTCACACATACATATCTTTGAACTTCTTCTCATATATGTGCAGGTTGCATCACGATGTTTTCCTTCACCGTAAGAACGTCGGATAAATGTACATATGTAAATCAGAAATCAAAACACATTGGTACATGGCGGGATTCGAACCCAGAACATACAATTTGCAAGTCAAGTGCTTAAACCCCTGAGCCACCGACGTTCGACAGACAATTACTTTTTTGTTTTTTTAAGAAAAGGGGGCAAACGAGCAGCGGGGACACCGAGGTTCATATACGCCCATGGAAATCAACAATATCAGAAAAACCGCAGATGCGTTGTCGGCCTTTTAGATAGTGATATTAAGGGAAAACATTTATTGATTAAGTTAAAACTAATGTTGCCACATCAAATAAAATTTAAACTTTTTAGTATATGTATTATGGTTAGGTACTCAAATTCGCAATTATTTAGTTTTTTTGCAAATGAAATATGACTTCAACGAATCAATTTAAACTTATTTCATTGTACATAGAAATTAATTTGAACATATCACAAATCAAGAACTTGCGAACAATTTATCAATTCAGATAAGCATTACCTGAGAGCAGTTCTGACGTGGTGGCGGTTGCTTTAAGTTTGGCACGGGACATGTGCAGACGTCGCCACGAGAGCCCGTCTGAAGCCAAGCCCGGTACCTCCTCACTCCATCCCACGCCTGTCGCAGCGCCACCAGACCCAGCTGGCATCGTCAGCGCCACCTCACTCACACTCTGAAATAATTGCAACAAATCTTGACTCCCGGCTAAGGGCCTTGAGTCCCTTAAACAATAAATTAATTCATAGTATAAAAAGTAACCACGTATACTTTTTTTCTCTGTGATATTTTATATTTCACTACTCGTCGAAGTTATCCACTTTACGATGGAATTTTTTTTTCACTAATGTTGCGCATATAATTAACCATGGGCCAAGACCAAGAGCCCAATATAGAGCGCACTGGCGGCGCAATGTTGATGCCGTCTGCTCTACTACGGGGACTTCAAGTAGGAAGTCAAGTAAATCATACTATTAGTCGTCTGATCTAAACATGAGGAATGTAACAGTATTTTTTTAATTTCTTGTCAACAAAATTCACTCACCAATAAACCACAAAAAACCTCCTTTTTTACGGTGGGGTAGAAGCTTAAATGACTTATTATTAGCCCGTGTTACGTTTACGAACCAGCTTTAATTTGTGCTGTCTAGCGCTAGACCAACCTTAATAGATTGACTGCAATGACAGGTCGTCTGTAGATAACTGGGGCTTAGCAGTACTGTGGTTGCCGTGGATTTGCTGGAGAGCATTCCGTTGGGCGTCACGCTGCCAGGACTTCCCTTCTGGCATACGTAGTCCAAGCTGTGCGGAGGGCTGATAGAGATCGTAGGACTGTCGGTCACGCTTACCTTTAATCTAGTAACAAGAAGGTTGAATATAAATAAAGGATATAATAAAAATTCTTTAAAAAAAACCATCACCTACATAAATGTTTAGTCGAGTACCCACCTTCAGAAATAAATGTCTTTTTAAAAATAAAACTAGCAAAATTCTTAATAAGAGTCAAAAAAACGATTAATAGTGGCTAAAAGCCGATCTCCACTATATAAGCTAGGCCGTAATTTCTATGAAGATTTCAAAAATTATTCAAATAAAATTGTTGTAGTTACTGATAATACAAAATATGTTAAATTGTATTTTATTATCAATTAAATTTTCTTGGAATCAAAACATAAAACATGAAATCGTAAATTTAAACTCATGCTCTTCTATGTAATTTTATTGTGTTTTTATTATAATGTTATTATTGTGTGTTGAGTGAAGTGTTGATATAATCATTGAATGATCTTGTCAGCTGCGGTTAGACAATATTGTACATAATCTGTGATGTGGAATTACCAGAATTAGGCTGCCTACACACGTTGTTTGCACTATTCAGTTAAGACTGTGACAGTAAGAAGTGTATAAACTGTATGTAACTAACTTTATACATATATTATTATATGTATTTATCGTTGGTATTTATATACTGATCGAATTCAGCAATGTACTAGTTATTCGTGACTTATATTAATATATCGGAAAATTTATTGGGATTAATTCTAATCTTATACTTATATACTATCTTATACTAACACTAAATAAGTAGCTATATGTCGCCCGCATCTCCGACCTAAAAAAATTGTGCCTTAAGTGTTCTTCCAGACTATGCTCTACATCTATGCCAAATATCAGAGAGATCTATGCCGAGGTTCTGGAGATACCTTCTAACAAACATCCATCAATCCATCAAAGTTTTCGTATTTATAATATTAGTAAGATTAGTAAGAAGTATGATATACAATATACAGAACGTGGAATATGTGTGATTTTGTAATAGAAGGTGGTAACTATGTAATTATTCAGAACTGCATGATGAAGGTCATAACTTGTTACGTCATCTAATTAGAATTTACTTAATAACTGTCTACGTGGAAAATAAGAGGAATTATCAAACAATTACTGCATTGCGTTTTATATTTTCCTTTTTTAGGATAACGTCAATAAAAAATATCATAGCTATTTTAAAATATGAATTAATTTTACATCATTATTTTATATATAGTTTGCTACTTGTTTCTTATTTACGAATACTATAATTACTTTAGTATTTCCGTATTGTTATGGATACCTTCAAAGATAAAATTCAGGTCCTATTTATAGTTATACTAGCTGTCGCCGACGATACCGTCCGTAGCTTATGTATCTTCTAGAGTATGTTCTACATCTACTACCGTTCTGGAGATACCTTCTAACAAACATCGATCCATCCACCTATTAACATTTTCGCATTTATAACATAATATTAGTAATATATGTAAATTTAAGTTTTGTTTTGTTTTTCCAGTAATGATAACGATCACACCTTAACTAACACGTAAAATTACAAGTTCTATAATAATGAACCCGTACTAAGTGAAGTTAAATTACTTCAATTGCGTTATTAGCATAGTTACCATCTTATAATTCACAACTTTAAGCACAATATTCTTAAGGATCAATTAATAATCAATATGATTTTCAATGTGTGTAGTATGATTTACGTTTTGCTTACTCATGATTAAAAAAAACATAAGCATACGAATAGGTCATGTTATCCTTCCAAACAATTCTTCCTCAAGCCTTTTTTTAAACATATCGACATTCCTGTCATCTTTAACAAAACAGATATAACAACATACGAAGATTCTAGTTTCAGAAATCCACGGTTACTGAGATGGAGTTTCTTTACTCTTATAGTGCCATTTTCTTTCGAAGTTCGACGATCAGGTAACTTGCAACCCTTGATACCGTGGCTCGTGAAAAGCGGAGGGGTACTCTTTCCGAACCACTTGCGTCGGTTCTTAAGCCAGGATTCGTCTTCAAAACTGCATGTAGAGTTGTGGTAAGGTAGGTAACTTTTTCAACGTATTTGTTGACGTAAAACAACATTAAACAAGTGTGCGTACTCAATACTATTTGTCAACACTACGAGTAGGTTTCAAATCGGATTGTTATGTAAATCTACGATATGGTTTCTCTGAGTTTTTCCCGAGTGTATAAGGTAACTCATACGTACGATCATTGGAAAATCAACTAATAATAATATTTATATAAAATATATTTGATGACAATTATAACATGATTTTGCACAATTAGCAGAACAGGTTAAAATGTGGGTAAATCTTACAAATATTATGAATGCGAATGTATGGATGGATGGATATTTGAATAGTTGGAAGGTATCACCAGAACAGCAGCATGGATTTCGCTGCAATTTAGCATAGGTGTGAAACATAGCTTGGAAAAACACATAAGCTACTATTTAAGTTTTTTCTTAATTCCGCACAGACGGAGTGGCAGGCGATAGTTAGTTAAAAAATATGTATTAAATCTGCCTACAGCACATCTACAAAATTGCCACATTGAGCAGTCTCCTGTATATGAAACCGAATTTTATGCTTTTGGAGCGAACAATAAAGGAAATACTAAACAGGAAAAATTTTGTTGTCAATTTGGGTTCCATTGTTAGGGGATTCCCCGTCCCGGGAAATTTTCGCGTTGTATGCAAGCATTCGTATACACAAGGAATTTTACTTGATTTAATCTTCGTTTTATCTCATAGAATTATAATCTTGTTGTTTAATTTCCTATGAAGAGTAGGAAACGCTTGCAAACATGAAAACAAGGTTAATCTCGTATTTACCTGCGTACCTTCCGACATTTTCTTATGGTTAACATAAGAATGACCAAGTTTATAAATAGAATTATACGTGAGGATAATATGAATTACCCATATTACTATTTTTATTACTCTTAATGACAAGCATGTACTTTTAGTCATTATTAATTAGAATCATTTGGCGCCAATGACGTACTTTCGTTACATAGTCCAGTGTCAGAATGAATAGTGACGGGACGTAAATGTCGACATTTTAGTAAGGCTAGTGTTGTGTCAATACACTGGTACATTTTCGGATTTTATTCCTATCAGTACTTACGATTTAACGAGGTCCTGGGCTTAATGGCCAGGACTGTCTAACCTGAGCTTAAGTGTAATACCAACCTTTATTTGTTTTTAAAAAGCCGGTCACAAAAATCACCATCCGCGTTTACGCTATAACGCTGTTAGTCACAATACAATCGTTAACTGATATCCTTACTTGGGTGTAGTTCCGCACTCATAGCTCGGCGGCTTTCCAAAGCAAGGGTACGAGTCACTGAGGCCTAGGCTTTTGGGCCTGAGCTCGTGCCTAAGCCGGTGGACTCTGTGCGATCTCTCGTAGAGGTGGTCGGTAGTGTGGTACCTTTGGAGCGTACGCGGCCGCGCCTTGCTGCTGGGGGTCTGCGTGCATTGGTCCACGCGGCTCGCGTCTTCCACGCTCGTTACGTAGCTGGATTCTGATACCTAGAAAAGTGGATTATATTCAGATCATTATGTATGTTATGATCGAACTAAGTCTGACAAACAGGTTGAGGTTACATTCTAGCTTTATATAAAAAAAACAGAAACTGTAAATATGCCTATGAATAGGGAGTTTTGTTACATCAATCTTAGTTTGGTTATATTAGAAAGCTATGCAGATGTAAAGTTTATTAAATTTCCTTATATTTTGAGGATTTGTTTATGTAAAATCTGCTCTTGTAAAGAAAAACGGGTTATGTCGGACTCGAACCGACTTAAAACTTTGTTACTTCTTCATACTTACTACTAGTTTTATAAGGGCAAAACTGGCTGATGACATAATTTTGACAGTTTAAAAGAAACAAAAGAGAAATAAAACATTAACATTGCAAACGATCCGTGAAATGAACACTGAATACGGGAAAACGTACGGCCTGTAATTTAGTAGATTGTTGATTGTTTGTGAACGATTATCGTGAGCCAGTGACATTGGCGGATTCGCAGGCGACGTGACCACGATGACAGTTAATGTATAGACACTAAAATATTTTTTATAGCATCCTCCTATCATGTAAACAAGTCAAGACTATGTAAAATTATTATTCTCGATTATTTTCTAAAGCATCTTTTTTACACTGTATAGCTACAAGTACGTGCTATACAACTCTGTCTCTTTCCCCCATCGTATACCCTCAGTGTGCGATG